TTCTTTTCTTTTTTTTTTTTAAAGGTCTTTTTTATATTTATTTATTTTTATTTATTACATTTATTTATTGTGTGTGTGTATGGCCAGCTCAGCCCACCAGGGGGCGGGTCTGGCTGGCATGTGGTGCTGGGGATCGAACCGCGGTCCCTGTGCTTTGCCAAGCTTGTTTCAAGTAGGTGCTTTAGACCACTGAGCCATCTCTCCAGCCCCATCCCTTACCTTTTCTTTAATAGCAAAAGGCAGCTAACACTTCTTAAAGGTATGCCAGGCCCTCTAAAGTGCTTTACTGATTCTGTTGCTCAACCCCGACGGCTCCAGGAGCCAGGTACGATTATCTCCATGTTAGCCATGAAGAACAGGCTTTTAGAGATTAAGCAACTTGATCTTGCACACCCAGAATCTGCACGCTTTCAAAGCTTTGATGTTACCACCTCATTTTCATCAAAAGAACTTGCTCCCTTCTTCAGAGAGAAAAACAAACTTCCCTCCACTTGTACTGTCCTCCTTCCTCCTTTTACATGGACGAAGTCTCCCTCCTCTCACCAGGCTCCTGTTTCTCTGATCTTCCAAACAAGACCCATTCCAGTGTCCTCCATCGGAGTTTTTTATACCAAACATTATTTCGCATTTCCTTGTGATTCTTTTGGCTAGTGCCTGCTTATCCTGATACCAGTTGGCAGGTTCTTCTGACCCATAAATGACAGAAACGAGACTGGACCAAATACCATAAGCACACACAGTCCCACATAGGGGGAAGGAAAGGCTTCATGTGAAAGGAGTCAGCAAGTGTTGAGTGAACAAGCTGCTCCCTGAACATCCATTTTTATTGACTTGTTGGGGTGAGATAGTCTGCTCACTTTGCCAGATGTGGCAGTGGATACCTGTAATTCCAGTACAAGAGGCAGAGGCAGATGTAGCAACTGGGTTCAATCAGGAGTACTGTGCTGGCTCTGCCCTGAGACGGGGCATGGGGTGCATGCCTGTAATCCCAGCTCTTGGGAGGCTGAGGACAGGAGGATCACTATAAATCTGATTGGACTTAGATTTTTCCTCAGTAACAGCTCATTTGATGCACCACCATGCCCAGTCTCATGCAGACTCTGTACAGAAGAGGCAGGAAAAGGAGGAGGAGGAAGAAAAGGAGGAGGAGGAGAAGCAGGAGGAGGTGGAGAAGGACACACGCTTTAATAGGCAATAAGCCAAGTTAACTTTTTTTTCAATTTTGTTTTTGTTTTTTAGATTTTTTAGTTTTTTTTTTTTTTTTTTTTTCTTCCAGATAGGGTCTTGCTAAGTAGCGCAGGCTGACCTCAAACTCAGGTCAATCCTCTTGCCTCAGCCCTCCAAGTGCTGAGATTAGCAGTGTGCACCACCAAGCTCAGCTAATGTTTGTGCAGAGCTGAGTAAACAGTAACCCAAGGTTTAAGATCTCAAAGGAGACAGACACAATGTAAGACAGAGGCACCAAGCCTTGTCTCTTTTTAGTCACCTATCACACATTATCACATTAGCAAACCCATATACTGGGAAAGTGGCCTTCAGATACCTGGAAATTCAGTAGCCCAAGCAACTTTTATAACCCATGTCAGAGGTATCATCTCACAGCAAAGCTAGTAGGAAACTAAAATGTATTGTCCAGCTACATGGCCTCCAAAATTAGTGATTTTTAAATTGGCTAAGAGCAAGTACAGTTAGAAGACAGATTTTTCCTCAGTAACAGCTCATTTGTTGCAAACCTGCTTCTGTGTTCTGACAAGCTCACAAAGTAGGTCTACTGGAACGTGTCAGGCTACAAAGGGTAACAGTTTACTGTGTCCAGGGGTTTGCCTGCATCAAACTTCTGCGTCACCACTGTGCCATCACAGTGATCCCTAACTATCTCAATCCTATTTGACTATCAAAAACCAAAACAAAAGAAAACTCCACGAAAGCCATGATTAGGTAGGTGTCAGACTGTGTCTGTCTGTCTGTCTGTCTGTCTGTCTGTCTGTCTGTCTCTCTCTCTCTCTCTTGTATTTAGTACAGGGTCTACAGGGTCTCACTACACAGATCGGACTTGTAGTGATTCTACTGTTTTCAGCCTCCCAAGCACTGGGATTGCAGGCGTGCACCACCATACCCAGTCTCATTCTCCATTTCAGCACGCCCCAGGAGCAGGGCCGGCATGGCATGCTGGGGATTGAACCTTGGCTGCTGCGTCTGCCTAAGCAGGCACTTTAATCCACTGAGCTATTTGGCCGGCCCTAATACAATTATTATTATTTTTTTTTTTTTTTTTGTGGAACCAGGGATTGAACTCAGGCCCTTGCACTTGCCAGGGAAGCGCTTATTCCACTGAGCCATCTCCCCAGCCCCTAAAGTTACATTTACAAGTTTTCTTTCTTTCTTTTTTGTATTACCAGGGATCAAACTCAGCACCTCTTGCTTCCCAAGCATGTGCTTATGCTAC